AGCTTTCGTGGGTGAATGCCCACTTCATCAGACGCAAGTAATGGAAATTTCCAGAGGCAGGTATAAATCAGTATGGAGATAATGAGGTTAGTTCAATCAAGGTGCCACAGGACCCTCTGTTGCTTTTTACAGGGGATTGGGTGATTCAAGAAATTAGTATTTGATCAGGAAACTTTTGATTTAACATCTGGCAGCTGTTTCGTGGCCCATCTGGAACATGCCCTTGGCCTCAGCCCAGTTCCTGGTATACTGATGTTACCTCATAAAAACCACTGCCACCACACTGGTCCTCTTTGGCAGTCTCACAAGAGAGTCAAAGACTGAAATGGCACAGCATGTGAAGTGCTGCTTCACCAGTAAAAGTGGAAGAACGTAGAGCAGGCAGTGAGGGAAAACTTGCACTGCCATTGTTATCAGTACATTATGGATAAACAAGTTTCTTTAGCCTGATTTTTTTCATTCCCATCAAGGTCCCTTTACACTGCCCGAGTGGTGTAAAGAGATCTTGGTGCAAGTGAGAATCAGGCCCTTTGCCTCCACTGAGATCCCTTGGATAGAATTCATGAGCACTAAACTCAACTTCAGATAAATTAAAAAGCAAACACAATAGTGCAGTTGTGCTTACTATGCTTACTTCCCCTCCCCCAATAGTTTGTCTTATTTTTCTTCATATCCTTGCTTTTCTTGAACTAACTCTATCAACATACTTAAAGCTACATACTTCTCTTCCCTTGTGCATCTTCCATACGCAATAGTGTGAGCGCCACTACAGGATTCGAGGGTATGTGGCCCTTTGAGTTCATCCCTTTTCAGGAGTGTTGTTGCAATTGAAGAATGTACTGCAGGGTAAAATTGGATTTTCTGAAACAGAAAATTTGCCCTTTGGTCTTGATTTATTTCTTTCCAATATAAAATAGACAAGTTGTGACTTGTCTTCAAAATAACGTTTGCATTAATTTTGCAACATCATACTCAGTACTCCCGTGTGATGGAGAACTGGAAATATTACCCTGATGCCATTTGTCTGTGTTTGTCCTTTAGTGGAATGCAGAAAACAGTTCAATCGAGCAGTCCCAATGATACATCCTCCTCGTATCCTGTAACGGAGTTTTGTTTTTGCTGAGTGTAGTCATGATTTTGTAGACTTACAGTTTTAAGAGTGGTTCTCTGTAGATTTTAAAGAACACATTTCTCTTGGAAAGCTTCTGAGTAATGGCTAGAAAACAAAACAAAAAAACAAAACAAACCATTTACTTCTAGATACATTAGTCAGTCTTATGAAACTAGTTAATCATTTTAAGCTGTTACAGTAACTTTCACTGTTCAAGGGTGAAAGTGCCACAGAGGGCAATAACCTCTGAAAACATCAGTTAAAGTACATTGCTTAAGAACACAGGCTGTCAGAGCTGAAATATTAACATGGGAATATATAAAAAAGGCTTGAACAACAGACAGACTGCTGTTTCTCAGCCTTAGAAAACAATGGACCTGATTTTCAGCATCTGCTGAGCATCCAGAACTAAGGTTGAAATCAATGGGACTCGTGGGTGATCAGTAACTTTGAAAATGCTAAGATGAAAGGCAAAGACAGAGAATGCAGAGCAGCATCTGTCAGAGGCTTGTGGTGACAGTGCTTGGCTCTAATTTTGTCTTTTTTTTCTTATTGGTTATTGGCTAATTCTCAGTGAATGCAAATGTCACTAAGAAACAATGGTAGAATTAAGAAACAAATATCATTTTGGGGAGATCAAAGTGATGTTACAAAAGAGGTAGGGCTGATAGTGGACAGGGAATTGGATGAGTTTGCAATGAAATGTGCTACTAAAAACAGCCAATACCATTTTTGTAGTTGCATACATGTAGAATCATAGAAATGAGGGCTGGAAGGGACCTTGAGAAGTCATTAAGTCCACCTGCTCTGTGCAGAAGGAGGGCAAAATAAATGTAGACCATCCCTGACAGGTATTTGTCCAACCTGTCTTTAAAAACCTCCAGTGATGGGGATTCCACAATGTACCTTGGAAGCCTCTTCCAGAGCTTAACTATCCTCATATTGCAAAAGTTTTTCCTAATACCTAACCTAAATCTCCCTTGCCGAAGATTAAACCCATTGCTTCGTGTCCTATCTTCAGTGGACACAGATAAAAAATTGATCACAGTCCTTTTATAACAGCTCTTAACATATTTGAAGACTATCAGCTCCCACCCTTCTTTTCTCAAGATAAAACATGCCCAGTTTTTTTTAACCCTTCCTCATAATCAGGTTTTTTTAAACTTTTATCAATTTAGTTGCTCTTCTCTGGACTCTCTCCAATTTGTCCACATCTTTCCTAAAGTGTGGTGCCCAGAACTGGACACAGCACTCCAGCTGAGGCCTCACCAGTGCAAGTAGAACCGAACAATTACTTCCTGTGTCTTACATACAACCCGCCTGTTAATACACCCCAGCATATTAGCCTTTTTTGCAACTACATCATATTGTTGACTCAGATTCAATTATTGATCCACTATAACTCCGAGATCCTTTGCAGCAGTACAACCACCTACCCCGTTATTCCCAATTGTTGTTGTGATGCACTTAATTTTTCCCTCCTAAGTGCAATACTTTCTACTTGTCTTTATTGAATTTCATTTTGTTGATTTCAGACCAATTCTCCAGTTTATCAAGGTCACTTTGAATTCTAATTCCATCCTCCAAAGCGCTTGCAACCCCTCCCAGCTTGCTGTCATCTGCAAATTTTGTAAGCCTACTCTGCACTCCATTATCCAAGTCATTAATGAAAATATTGAGTAGTATTAGACCCAAGACTCTCCCCTGCTGGACCCCACTAGATACACTTTCCCAGTTTGACAGCAAACCATTGATTACTACTCTCTGAGAACAGTCTTTCAACAGTTGTGCACTCACCTTAAAAGTAAATTTATCTAGGGGCATGGCTACACTTGCAGATGTAAAGAGCTGGGAGTTAAACCAGCCTTCGGAGAGAGCACCAGGGAAAACTCTGCCGTGTGTTCACACTGTCAGATTCAAGTGCACTGGTGTGGCCACATGAGCAGCTTTTGCAATGCCACAGAGAGCAGTGCATTGTGGTAGCTATCCCAGCATGCAAGTGGCTTCAACATGCTTTTCAAATGGGGGTGTGGAGTGTGACAGGGAGTGTGTTGTATGTATGTGGAGGGAGAGACAGTGTGTTTTGGGGTGCTGAGAGTGTGTCAGCATGCTGTCTTGTAAGTTCAGACAGCAGCAGACCCCCTTCCCCCCGCCCTCTCTCTCTCTCACACACACACTCACAGCAACAGCATTCCACACTAATGGTTACTTTGTCCCAGAGCAGATAAGCATGCTCAGAAACAGAGTTTTGAAAGGGGATATCCGCATTCCTACAGCCGATTCCAAAACAATGAGAAGAGTGGACCCTTGACTTCAGGGGATTATGGGGCATTTCCGGAGGCCAATCACAGTGCAGTAATGCAACAGCTTGATCACACTGATACCTAGACATTTCAGCTGGGGCGCAGCAAGAGTTATGCTTCTCGTGGAGGTGAATTACCAGGAGTGCTCCAGCTTCAGAGTCCGGGCGCTCTACATGCTTTGCCAGTGTGGATGCGTCAGGAGTTAGGGCACCTGAGGCTGCTTTAATGCACTCTAATTTGCAAGTGTAGCCAAGCCCTAGATCTCATCATGGATTAGAGAGCTGCGAGTCCTATACAGCATTAGATTTGTGAGACCCTACTTCGGTAGGGGATGGAGCTAGATGGTTTAACAGGTCTTTTTCATCCCTAATTTCTATGACTCTTTGGTCCTGAAAGTCCATCTGAATTATTCAGGCAGGTCTTGCTGTCTGTTACTCTGTCTTAATGCCAACACTGGTTTGCTTTTTTTTGCATTCTTCCCAGTGATGTAAGTTATGCATCAGTAAGTCAGTACAAGAGAGTCTAAGGTGGTACAGTTTACATGAAGAGGAGCTGGAAGAGGGGGTGAACTGGGGCAGGAAAAGCATAAGATACATCCCCACACCTTATCTTATATTTTCAGTTAGTTGTTTTCCTGTTATGCCCTTCTATTCTGCCTCCTCTGTGCATAACTTACACATACATAACTTAAACTCATAGATGTGAAGGCCAGAAGAAACTTTTAGATGATCTAGGCTGATGTCCTATAGGAGCCCTATCTCTATCCACCTGATGGGGCTTCTGTGGGATTTGAAGGTAGGTCCTTTGTCTTCATGAGCAATACACATACCTCCAAGCTACTAAGCCACTTGTAATCTACATCAGCTCTGAATGTGGTCCATAATTTGAATGTATTATTTATACAGTGCTGAAGTCAAAGACCAGAATCCCTGCCCTGAAGAACTTCATATCTAACAGCACAAGTGGAGTATGATACAGCACAAACAAGAGATACAGGTACACTGTAGGCAAACATAGGGTGGCATGTAGCTACTATAGCTGGAATACTTCCATCAAACCAGATGTGTTTTGGGAAGTTGTTCTGAAAGCAGCCAGAGATGGGATTTGACATATGTTAATTGGGAGGCTGTTCCAGGCACATGGAGTGGTAGGAGAGAAATCTCAGATGATATATCAGCAAAGGAGACAAAAGGAGCAGTTAGAAGTGAATCAGAAGAAGTGGGAGGCCAGGTCGGAGTGGATGAAGGCAGAATTATGGGAAACTTTGAAGGCGAGCTATGCTTTTGTGCAGTAATGGAAGGGAAGGCTGTGCAAGCACTGAGGAAAGAGGAAGCATGATCAGAATAATGGGAAAGAAAAATTATCGTTGCAGGAGCACTTTGGATGGCTAGGCCATAAGGTAGAGGAGAAGGGCCAAGAACACATGGTTGCAGTAGGCAAGTTAGAAAACACCTAGCTAATGAACCAGAGTTTGGCAGTGGGTTCACAGAGGAAGGGATGGATTTTGGCTATATTGTAGTGTCTAGCTGCCAACAGAAAGGGAGGAGTTTTACTCATTTAATGAATGAAGCAAAGGATGCTGTATCTCACAGAAAATGTTCCTTTTGTAAATCATGGGTTTCCCAGGGGTGCCACTTTGCTAACACAGGGACAAATGAAGGCCTCTGGATTGATGTTATATTTGCATCAAAGATGACAGAATGTTGTATCATTCGCATAATCCATAATGGAAACACAGTGCTCTGTGCCTCTTTGAAGTGTGAGGACTGGATCCGTCTTTCATCCATCACTGTGGTTACAAACAGATTCCACTGAAATACACTACTGCAAATTAAAGCTCATGGGTCTTTTTTAGTTATTTTTTTTATTATCTATCACCAAGAGTAGGTGACTTGTAGTGTGCTATGTAGTAAAAACAAGAAAAGATTTCCTTACATTTATTGATTTGTAATAGTATGTAGTATGTAGTATACAGTACCTCACAACTCAAGCTTCAGAACTCCTTGTTAGATTCACTTCTCTTTAACAATTGATGACAGAATAAAAGCTACCTTTATATAGGATTATCAGTCAATGAGACTACATATGGCTGTTTACTAGGGCTGATCAAAAAAATTGGGATTACAATTAAACAAAATCTTTCATTAAAAGTCTCTGATTTTGATGGAAAATTTACATTTTTCATCCAAAAAGACACCTGAAAACCAAAATGTTTTCAGTTGAAATCTGAAACATTTTGATTCAGGAAATGCTGTTGTGTGTCTCATGGCGAGGATGTGGTTTGGTTTTCTCATGACCCCATTCTTCTCTATGGACCAGGACTCCTATGATGCACTACTTCCCCTCTCCAAGAAGGGAGACCAAAGAGCCTGGCCTATACAAGAGAACAGAAACATCAGGCATTCAAACTACAACTCCTCTGAGTCACTGCGGTAGCATTTCTGATTAGAAATATTTTGGTTTTCAGCCGCATAGTTTAGTTTTCAATTTTTATCTGAAAAGTTATAATTTGTTTTCATTGAAATTTTCAGCAGAAAATCCGCTGAAACCAGCTCTCATGTTTAAATTTAAATGTTTCTCTGTTCTCTTCTGTGATACACATTATGAAGCCATCAAAAGCCTGATAAGTTATCCTTGTCAACCAAACACCTAGTAGTGACATAATAAGGTAGTTGGGGAAGGGTCATATTTGCTATTCTGGTAAAGCAGATGACTTAAAACATCAAAGTGTAACTTCTGACCTTCTTGGCATCTGGAAAAGTTAAGACAAAAATAATTTAATATAATTACTCAAGTTGTTGAATTTTGTAGAGTTTTAAGAATAAATTTGGGGAGCTCTGAAAAAAGAACAAACCTATGTTTCAACAGAACATGAAAGAAATATCCAGTTTAATTCTTCAGTGATCAAAACAAGACTTTCTCAAGTTCCCTAATACATAAGATCATTGAACTTTTGAGCTGAGACAGGATCATAAAGAAACAATAATAAAGATAAGATAGAGTGTAAATAAACAAGCAATACAACCTCCCTTCAGTGAAGTTATAGATATGCTGACTTTGAAAAACAGGTTGGTATTTATCTTGTTGGGAATGTATCATTGTTCTCTGAAGTATGTTGCAGGGCAGCATAGCACAGGTTTTACAAGGGTTTCCTAAGGAACCATAAAGTGAAGAGAAAATAAATTAGGATTGAATACCACAAAGTTATCCCCCCAAATAAAGAGTTTAGGCATGGATTCTGCTACCTTTACCTAGGATGAATAGTAACTTGTTCCACAAATAGTTCCATTGGCTCAGAGAGTGCCCCTGAGATGACCCATGCAGAAGGGATGCTGACAGTCCCTTTCCCTATCTGCACGTACCCACCGTGCACTTTCCCTTTCTGGAATCCGTGATGATCTCTCTGTAGGTCTGGGGAGGGGGGGTGTCTCTGCTGCGGGAGGGGCCGAGACTGCAGTGGGAAAATGGGCAAAGGACCAAGGGGACATACACATTCCCTTCCATTCCCCTGGAGTTTACCTGGAAAATAAGAAGCCTGGGGCTGTATTATCTTTTCCACAGAGCACCACACCATATTGGATCCCAGTGGTCACTGCAGCCCAGTCCAATAAAGCCATACTGCCCAGGAGCTCTGTGTGGATGGCCCTGACCTCCAGCAGATAGCCTGGGAATCATCAGGTTTGAGTTGGAGGAAAGCTGACACCCCCCTCACTGTCCATGAGGAAATGCTTGCAGAGATTTCCTCCCCCAGAGCCTGTCCTGAGGGCCTTACCACCATGGGGGTGAACTGGGACACTGGCTTCAGTGGGGCCACTACGCAGTGTGAGTAAAGGTAACAGAATCAGGCCTTTCAGAACACCATAGGCATTCCAGTTAGTTTTGGAGATAGTGTGGGGCTTGAAGAGGAATGCAGCCAGTGAACCCCTTCAGCTCTAAAAATGGTTCCCTCTAGAGCAGCAATTGTGGCAGTGTGGGGAAGCCCACAGTGCTGCAGCCTTTCTCCTTTCTGCACTGTGGATAAGGAGAGGATGGCAATGCTGTCAGTCCAGCACCTTTCACAAACCCTTTCTAATCCCTTGCCATATTGGATTAAAGGGAGGCTCTAAGGTTACAGCTGCAAGCTACCATTTCCTTATAAAGCTCCCTAATATTTCTCCCCATTGAGCTTTGATTTTTGTTTACCCTGCCTCATAAAACATCAATGCATTCAAGAGTGTAATTGGAATACTTTGTATAAACAGAGCAGGGAGCCACACAATCTAGTAGTTTATATTATTTTCACTTTATAATTATTTTTTAAAAAAATCTCTGTAGCACTCTATATTTATGGCTTGAAAACACAATCAAATAGTTTGGGATTCCAACACCATAAACTTCCTTCCACAGGCAGCACTAGAATGTTCTCATTAACAGTGGACCTCTCATGTTTCTGCTCTGAAACAACAGGTATAACCAAATTCTTCTGGAGGCCTTTCCTTCCTCTCCCCAGAAATGTGCAGAAGTGGGGGGGAAAGGCATTTTTTCCATTCATTGCATGGAGAATATGAAAACTTGGCACACAAGTGAGTTATGTACTGGAATTTGGGTGGGTCTAGGAAAAAGCACAGTCTTCAGTGGAAAACATATATGGGTGTGTGTGTGTATGAGAGAAAGCCTTTTAAACCATAAATTGATCACATGCATAGACTGGTGAGGAAAGAAACAGAAAATTGCCCTGAAATAATACACTGAGCTGGTACTGAAAACAAGCACTACTGCCCCAATTTGACAGTGCCATTGGCATTTTAAATATCATTCCATTAGTTTCATAGTGTAACTATTTCAGTGCTCATTATAAGTTCAGACTGTAGCTTTAAGCCATTATCCACGTGGGTGATGGTGAGGGCTCAGTGGCATATGCACCAGCAGCTGCTGCCGGAGTTGAGCAGTAGGCCTAGATCCTCAAAGGTGTTTAGACGTGGAACTCCCATTGGGAGTTAGGTGCTTCAGTACCTTTGACAGTCTGGGCCTAGGGCCCAATTCTCCATTCTGCTATAGCTCCTTTGCTCTGCTTCAGTTAGCAGCCATTCATACGTTAGAGGGATCTCTTTGGGGACATGAACTGCATGTTTGTTTGGCCTGTCAGCAAAACTCAGTGGGCGTTTTGACAAAGAACTTGAAGATTTAGCTCAAAGAGGATACTCTGAGTCCTGTATTTGTTGGACATTAGTGATATGGCTAAGGTATCACAAAGGGTCAGTTCAGAAGTTCCATTTGTGTCACGATCTAAAGACTTTTCCTAATTGAACCTAGCAATTCTGTAGGCAAGAAGTGCAGAGGAATGTGTATTCAAAACCAGATGTTTCCAAACCAAGCCTAGATCCAGCAATACCTCACAAATTAACACTTGGTTAATAGGCAAACCTGCTCATACTTGCAACTGCTCATTCTCAATCCACTACTCAACGAAGATGCAGCAAATGAGTGTTGCACTGAAAAAGCATGTTACCAGTGACAAGTCTACATGGTGGGGTAATGCACATGACAGGGATGTAATTTCTAAAGCACACTACCGTTCTGCACATTAATAGGTCTGTGTAGACCCTGCTACTGCACCACAAGTTACTTTTACAAAATACACTACTGGTTATTTAAGAGAGTACTATCTTCTGAAGTGCTATTATACATAGTGAAAGCTAATCTGAGGTGGTCAGAATAAATGAACAAAGTATATGTACTGATGCATCATCTGTAAGGTGACTCCATGTCCTGATTTCACCAGACAGTACCAGTTTTTTACTGCATCAGTTCACATGTTTGTCTGTTTAAGAGCTAAAGAGTGGAATTTGCTCTGTGTTTACTAGAAACAAACAGTTCAAGGGAACAAGTGGTTGTGTGCTTTACAACATTTGGAGTTTAAAACGAAAACTCAAACGAGAGTGGCCATCCTTGAAGCTGTTCTTTAACTCGGAGTGAGTGTTCAACATGCTTATTCAGTAATATATGATCAGCTCATT